TTCTTTCACTATTTTCTTCCAATCGAATCACAATCTACGACAGTAGCTTGTAAAAAAATAAAGGTCTTATTACTGTTTACTGGGCCCATGGTCCTGAAGAAAGATGACAACTTTAATAAAATGGCTGACAAAATGGAATTGGTAAATACACACATACAGTGCTGATAATTATAGTGGCTAAGAATGAATTAAAAAAAAAAAGAAGAATAACAACTAATAATATAACCTCACCTATTGTTGACCTAGATCTGCCTTCAATTTATTATATTCATCCAAATTAAAATTAAAGGTAGTAATAAGAGTTCAATTATGATGTCCTGATTTTTAACATCAATGTCAGTCAGTTATGTGCCATGCAGGATACATGCTTAGGCGATCATGTATCTTTAAGTACATGACTGACGAGGCAGATTTATTCCTGCAGTAGGTTGTCATTTCTTTCTGCGGTAGACAAATTGCCATCCAAGGCTATAGAACCTGGACTGTCCTGCTATTTACCCATAGCCATTTTACGGGCTAATACCCTTGGGAAAGGTATGAATCCTCTTCTCTCGGATTCATACCTTTCTCAAGGGTATTAGCGCGTAAGTGAATGTAATGGATTGGACTGGAATTCAAACTCGGCTCCCCGATTCCTCAATTGAGATGTCAGTGTATGTGTCAAAATATTGTAATGAGATTGTATCACTATTTTAATCAACTAGGCTAATCCCATTTGGTCAATATGGTTTTGTTCAAGTCGTCGCCGCCTTTCACTGGGACTATGAGCGCAAAACAATAGTCAAGTCAAATTTTCTAAATGTCCAAAATAATTTTTAACTATTTGTACAAAAAAAAACCAGCACTCTGGGAAATCCAGCTTCTTTCCTTCTGGAAAATTTTCCTTCTGGACCACTAAAAAATTATCTAATTTTAAGTTTCAGATGTTATCGTTTCTTTTTATTATTGAGCAAATTTAATAAAAAGAAAAAATGTAATTATTTGTTGAGTGAATCCTTATTTCATTTCTTGAATAATAATCCTGGTCTTTCTTCAGAGTTTATATTGATTATCTCCCTTGATTTTCGCTCCCGAATCCTGGTTGTTTCTAAATATTTAGTAAAGTAGTAGAGTTTTTTTTTTCAAATTTTACAGTTTTATTTTTTTTTTTTGTTATTGTCCTTTTCTTTACTGTCGTACAAAGGAAGATAGAAAGTCGGCAAAAAGAAGTAAGTGTAACGTTTTTAAAATTTAGTTCCTAACAAATACAATAACAATATTTACTTACTACGAAGACGTTTTTTACTCGCAAAGATCAAGATAAAATATTTTTTTAAATATGCGATATTTTATTCAATTATTGAATAAAGATAGAGGCGAATCCCTTTAACTTGGAAACTGATTTATTTGTTGAAATCTAATTAACTTTATTTATATTTTTATTAATTCTCTTCTTTATTAATTTTTGTGAATTTTCTTTTCTTCATTGTTATGTTAAGTTATGCAAACAAAACACGAACGCTAAATGAGTTGTTTTTTTTGTTTTTTTCTTTTTCTTTTTTTTTTTGTTTTTAATTTATTTTGGTAAGGTTCGGGCGGACGAATATTCGCATTGCATAATTTTTCTTTTACTGAAATTAACATCTTTGGGGACTTTTCTTTGCACAACTAAAGAAAAATCGCTAACATCCGCCTCCAAATTAAAAAAAAAAATATGCGCGAGATATCGAACAAAAAAAAAAAAACGGAACTGGTGGAAAAAGACAACCCAAAACATTTCCACAAAGTTATCGATAAAAAAAATAAAAATCATTCATTAAAGAAGACACAAGGAAAATTTCGTTTGAATCGGATAATTCCCTGATTTTTGGCAAATATTTTAAAACAAGGTAGCGATTTTCTGCTTGCATTTCGGAAAAAAATCTTTTTTTTTTATTTCTTTGGTGTTACCACAGAAAATTCGCAAAAAAAAGAGGATACATGATAAACCAAATGTACAAAAAAAAAAAAAAAAAGTGCATAATGAAAACAAAATTTTATGGTCAAAACCTTTGTTTTATTTATTAAGACGAACAATCAAAGGATTTTTTTTATGCTCTTGGAAATTTTGTTTTTTACTTGCGTCAACGCGGGACCGCAAATTTGTACGCAAAATTGAGCGTCTTTTCTTACATTATTAAAAACACATTGATTTGGAAATTCTTGCAAAAATAATACAATTGTTGGATTTTAATGAAACTTTCAGGTCTTTATTCGAAAATTTAATGAAATTATTTTTGAAACTTTTCTTTTTTAGAAAATCTTTGTAATTTTTTTCCTTTGCATCTGTTACTCTCCACTCATTTAATTTTTTTTATGAAATTTCGACAAATTATCGCTTAATGTTTGTATTTATTTAAGTCATCGAAGAATTTAGATCATCAATTATTTTTTGTCAAAAACAGGACTACCAGTTACAGAAAATGTGCTCTGAATCGTAAAATAAGTGCAATAAGACATTATTTAATTAATTAGAAAAGCTTTTAATTGCTTTTTTAAATGAATAAAAAAAAAGTATCAAGAAAAAAAATTTCCAATGAATAATGAATTTTTACAAGAATTGTTTACGGTTTTTTAAAATTCTAATTAGAATAATTTATAATTTTACTTTTTACAAAAATGAAAATTCTTTATTAATCTGTAGCTGTTAGGTGATATTGTTATTAAATAAAAAAAAAATCAAACTATAATTTAATGGAAAAGCTTGCTACAAACAGAATTTTTAATTTATGTGTGTGTGTTCAAACGTGTCGATTTCTGTAAATGTTGTTCACACACAGCATTATCAGAAAATAAAATCGGTAACTATAGTAAATTTGAAATTTATTGTTAATTTTCTAAAATTTTAGCAATATGCGTATTTGTAAGTAAGGCTATAAGACAGTGTATCTAAAATTCAATAAAATATTAAATTGCTTAGAATATTTTCTTAAATTTTTCAGATTAGGTAGTTAAAACACTATATAAAAAAAGTTGTTCATGGTGTATTCATCAAATAATTTTTACAGTTATGTATCTCTTAAAATTCTCAAACTGTTGATAGATCTGTCAACACCTCATAAAGAACCAAACCATATTAAAAAAAGATGTTTTTCTGTGAAACTAAATATTTCTTTCACGTCAGAATAATTAAAATTTAAATCAACTAATCTTTCTTAAATAATGTTTCAGAAAGTATATTTTAATTTTGAAAGATTTTTTTAATAAAGAGAATTATGTTGTGTTGACAGATTTATCAATATGGGTGGTTTTAAAGATGTTATTGATAATAAAAAAATAATTCCAATCAATTTAAATTAGGTTTGAAATCAGGAAAGTATTTTGTTTGATGGAAATATTAAATTTAATCTATTAGCTTGGAATTAAAACTAAAATAAAAGCTTCAAGAAAGATTTTTCATTTTTAAAAACGTATTTTAAACCTTAGGTAACACTTTTTTAAGGTACATTATTTTCTTTCAATTTTAGCAGAAAAAATGTACACTTAATACTTGTTTTTTAAAAAAATTACTTGTAATTTTTCAGTATGATTTTGAAATTCAACCCTTTGTTGTCCATAAGAGTTTTTCGGGTTTTTTTTTTTTATTACAATGAAACTTAAAAAAATGTAAATTTTAATACCATTTACAATTATGAATCACTTTTTTAAAAAATAAATGTTAGATTATCTTTTTTATGGATGTTCAAATAAAAAAAACAATTCTGAATTACCTCCTTTGATTGAATACTCTTCCTTATTGCAAGAGAAATATGATATATGTTAATTCAATAATTATTAAATTCAGAATAATTAAAAAAAGACCACATTAGTGTAATTTTATAACATGAAACAGGTGATAGAAAAAAGGAAAAATAAAGGCAATTTATTAAACTTAGAAGTATTATTTAAACAATTTCCAGTGTTGTACAAAAAAAAATAAAATTATTCATTCTATGTTTCATAAAAGTGTATAGAATATAAAATTATATTCATAAATTATTGATTGTATGATATTAAAGATAATTTAAAATATAAATACCAATTTCTTCATTGTAGCACTGCTGGTGTTCTATATTTCTTTAATTATTAAAAAAAAATTAAGTGAGGGATTATAGTAGAAAATTACATTATGACCTATAACATCACAAGAAACTGTGTGTAAGTAAACATTATTTTTATTATCTTTTAAGCTAAGAGTAATGTTACATTTACAAAATCCAGTCAATTAATTCATAAATTTGCTAATTGACTTTGAAACATCTCTAGGAAAAATACTGGATTATTAAGAGATTTTAAAATTTTTTCTTTACATTTTTCCTCTATAACGGTGGCATGGTGAGTCACAATTGAATATGCCAATGTTTTACAAATGCCTCAAAATTTCATTTAAATATGAACATTTATTTTTCTTTTAATTTAGTTTATTATCTTTCAAATAAAATCAAAATTTAACTTCAAAGAAGGTATTTAATTGTTTTTTTTTTTGTTGTTTTTAGGTGGTACCTACATTACATTTATCTTACCACTTTTCTTTTAACTTTTCAGCTTGTATAAAAGCATTGTACATTGTTGAAACTTTTCTTGGGTTGGTAACTGGAAATAATAATTGAACTACTCAAGTAACAAAACCCATCACTCATGCAAGTTCATTGTTTCTATCTGGTTGAATGAAAGGATTATATAATTTCAAATGTTGTCATTTCTTTTATTTATTGAGCAAATGAAGTAAAAAGAAAATAAATTATTATTTTAAAGTTTTATGATTCCATTAAGTGAATACTATTTTTTTTTATTAATATTAATGAAAAATTCCAGGTTTACTTTTTCAGTTTATCTTTATATTATTTCCCTTGATTTTTACTCACAGATGGCAACTGATTTTAAAATTTACTAAACTTGAAAATATTAGCTTATTTCAAGTTTTACAATCTGATCCCTTTTCTTTACTGTCTTAGTGAATAAAGATGAATCATAAGAAAGTCAATAGAAAGAAGTAAACACTTATGGCCACATCATATTGAAACAATGGTTCCCATACAATCACCAAAGTTAAGCAATGTTGAACCTGGTCAGTACCTTGATGGGTGATTGCTTGGGAATACCAGGTGCTGTAAGCTTGGGTGTGCAGGTGGTGTACTGGATAATGGCTCAGAATTATTAATCAGAAGACCAAATTCAAATTCTCATTGGGTTCGTTATATTCACTTACATGCAACTACCATTTGGGAAAGGTATGAATCCACCTGTTCTCCTTCTGGCTATGGGTTAATTAGTAAAACTTGTATCACTAAACTATTATTATCTCCCCACCCCAATTCTTACAATTTAAAAATATTTTCTGGCTTTGAATAACTGGCAAAAAGTTGATAAGCTGTAGAAAACAAATTAATAATATAGAAAGATGTAAATATAACATTTTTAAAATTTTGTTCTTAATAAATAGGTATTTGCAATGAATACATGTTTTACTTACAAGGAACAAGATGAAATATTTTTTTAAATATGAGTTGATATTCTATTGAACAAAAAAATTATCCAGAATTAGGCAAATCTCTTTTCTTTTTTTTTGGAGGTGGAGGGGAACTGATTTAATGATTTCTTGAAATCTAATTAATTTTAATTTTTTATTAATTTACTTTTTTATTAATTTTTGTGAATTTTCATTATTACATTTATATTGTAATTTTTTTTAGTTTAACTTTTCAACTTATATAAAAGCATTCAACATTATTTTAACTTTTCTTTGATATCAGTGGAACTGCTAAAGAGCTATGAGCTTTGTATGAATATGAACTTGGTTACTTGGGAAAAATGTACTTTTTAAATTTTGAGATGAGATGTGGTGATTTACTGTAAAGTAAGGAATTGGTAAAAATTAAATATTAGTTATTGTCTAAATTGGAGAAAAATCAGCCAGATAATGTAGCCAAATATTGGTAATTTGATGACTCTCAATTATCCTACTGTTCCCCCTTGATAATCTCTCAGTCTATTCTTATCAACTTTGCTCTTTTTCTTGATTGATTATGGTGGGGGTAATGACAAAAAAACATCAACAACCCTGCTGGCAATGATCTGAAAAAAAAAAAGATAGATGGAGCAAATTAAGAAGAGTAAAGAAGATGTAGCAAAATATGTGGCCTTGTAAGAGCAACAGACTTTTATGATTAACATATGAGGAGCTATTCTCTGTAAATATTTCCAAATTGACAACAATACTATTTCTCATGTTTTGATTTAGTATAGCATTTTGTGATTGATACACTTTGTATCCCATGGAGCAAAACTTTATTTGGGTGTAGTTTTAGTTTGGAGATGGATTCACTCCTTTTTTAGTAGGTGCTAACCATTGTTTGGATATGATTATCAAGAATCCACTTTTTATCATTGATGAGGATTCTACCAAGGAAATGTTCAGTAGGAAGTACACTCTTCATTGATGAGCAGAGGGCAACTCTTTGATTAAGCTGGGAAGCAGATGATGATGAACCCATTGGCCAATTTTAAGAGTTTGTAAATGTGTTTTATGATTGAAATGTAACTTGTATTGAACTGTTTTGCAAATTCTTGTACAGTTTGCTTATGATTTTCTTAAACTACAGTTTTCAGAAGCTCAATATTTATAGAACTTGGTTTTTCAAATTGGGGTGGGGAGTTAAGAGGAGAAACTTTCCAGTTGTCATTGGCATGTCTAGACACTTAAAGATTCATCTCCATAGATAGAACAAATATTTCTTGTCATTTCTGTTACTGAAGAGACTTTTTTGAATTCATACATCATACTTGATGTAGTCTGAGCTGAACTGATTTTAAAAGAATAGAAATCACTACAAAATTTAGCCAGTTTGTTATTAAGTAATGTGTAAAGAAAGAAAAATATTTGATCATAAAAATTAATGTTTATTTAACCATAATTATTGAAAAAATGTAACAAGTTTTTCTTTTTGACCTAATGTAAAGATGAAAATTTGCTCATACTGTTTCATCCAGATTGTATTTAAGATCATAAAAGTTATGACATAATTAGTTGATTAAATGTTAGAATATGAGCAATTTTCTCATATTTTTAACATTGATGAAATGTTCTTTTCTTTCTGAAAAGTAAAACTTAGGCAAATTAAAAATTGCAGAATTTAAATTTTATTCCATTTATGTTAAAGAAAAGAATAAAAACTTCAATTTAAAATGAATTATGTGATATATTGCTCTTTATTGAAACAGAAAATGATTTTTGATTTTGGAAATAATGCATATCTTAACTGTTTAATATTTCTTTATTCACAGATATCAATTATATGGAAGAAAAGCAATTTTCAATCATGGACAGATACATTGACATATCAAAGAGAAAATATATTCTTTCAAAATGTGTGGATTCACAATTTGATAGAAGTTACATTTAAATAGTTCTATACAAGCACACCAAACTTGCAAAGTCTGTGCATCAAAGTGTTCACAAAATTTACATTTCAAAGGCCACATGCACATTGCTCCTACTGGTGATCAACCTTACTTTTGTCAGGTATACAAATTACACTTTCCAACTAGTTAAAAACTGAAAAGACACAGGCTAACATTCTGGGAAGAAGACATTCTTATGATGAGTGCAAATCAGGATTTCTATGGGAATATATTTTAAAATTACATATGCAAGTACATTGGAGAGAAAACTAGTGCACGTTGTTTTATCTAATATTTTTAGGTAGTTGCATTGAAAAAATATATGGAAGTTCACATTAGAGAGAAACCATTTTCCTCTCAAGTGTGTGGAGCAACATTTCTATGTAATTCAATTTTAATGCACAAAGGAAAGACCCCCTATTCATGCACCGTGTGTGAATCAGTATTTTCAAAAAGTTCCAATTTAAAAAGTCACATGCAAATACACACAGGAGAGAAACCATTTTCTTGTCAAGTGTGTGGATCAACTTTTTCTAAAAGTTCCTATTTAACTAGACATATGCGAACACATACTGGAGAGAAGCCTTATTCTTGTGAAGTGTGTGGGTCTGCATTCTCAGAGAATTCTACTTTAAAACAACACATGCGGATACATACAGGAGAGAAACCATTTTCTTGTACAGTGTGTGGATCAGCATTTTCTTTGAGATCCAGTTTAAAAAATCATGTACGAATACACACTGGTGAGAAACCTTTTTCATGCCAAGTGTGTGGATCAGCATTTTCAGAGAATTCCAATTTAAAAAAACACCTGCGAATTCACACTGGGGAGAAACCATTTTCATGTCAAGTGTGTGGATCAGCATTTTCAGAGAATTCTAATTTAAAATGTCATATGCGAATACACACCGGGGAGAAACCATTTTCCTGTCAAGTTTGTGGATCCACATTTTCAATGCAATCCAATTTGAAAAAGCACATGGGAATACACACTGGGGAGAAACCTTTTTCATGTCAGGTGTGCGGAGCAACCTTTTCAGCAAATGCCACTTTAAAAAATCATATGCGAATACACACAGGGGAGAAGCCCTTTTCTTGTCAAGTTTGTGGAGCAGTATTTTCACATAGGTCCAATTTGAAAAAGCACATGCGAATACACACAGGAGCAAAATCATTTTCTTGAAGTGTGCAATTCAGCATTTTGAGTGTAATCCAGTTTTAACAAAGTGCATGCAAATATATACTGGGGGAAACCATTTTAGTGAATTCCACTTTAAAAAATTGTATGCAAATACAGACTGGAAAGAAACCTTTTTCATGCCAAGTGTGTGGAACAGCATTTTCAAACAGCACCTGTGAATACACACAAGTGAGAAACCATTTACTTGTCAAGTGTATGGATCAACATTTTCAAATAATTCAAGTTTAAAAAAAACATATGCATGTGCATACTGGAGAGAAGTTTCACTTTTGTTAAGTGTGTGGATCAGCATTTTTTAATAATTTATAAGTGCATGTGCAGAAAACACTAAAAAAGAATTCTCATAACTCTTCATTTTCCTACACGTCCAGTTGAAAAATGTACATGTGTGTTTCACTGTAGAAACTCCTCTACACTAGATTTTAATTGAAATGTCTCAACAGAAGTACACAAAATAATGCACAGTGTATGTGAATCAGTATTTTCAAAGAGTTCCAATTTAAAAAGTCACATACGAATACACACAAGAGAGAAACCATTTTCATGTCAAAATTACCAGCAATCATACAATGTGACAAAAAATAAATCCATATAATTATGCATAAGAAAGGAATCATAGTCCTGTGAATATGGGAATCAATTTTAACAATATTTATGGAAAAGCATTTTCACATGAAATGTTAATTTTCATGCAAAGCCACAAAAAGGATATACTTTACGTGTTGCAAAAAAGGATATTATTTTTAAAGCTTGTGGATTTGCCATGGCTCATTTTTTTTCTGTTTTTTATCATAATAATTTTGGCCTAGAATTTACAATCAAGATAGATACTTGACAACTTAATTTTCACCCAATATCATGTCTATTCTGAATTTCTAGCAGTTTAATGTAGTAGCCAAAGAATGGATTAGCAGAAACTTGTTTTGGTAAAATCCTGAAACTATATTAATTCAAAATACTTGGGTATGCAGTTATTTGATAATACCTGCCACACTGTTGAACATCCCTGCCATGCATAGTTCATTACCCCTCAGAATGGTAATAAAGAGGGAAGACTTGTGAAATATGACTTAGCATGAAAAGTTTTAACTCTTGTGCATGCTGAACCTATCAATGTAAAAATTTAAAATGAATTCAAACCAAAATATCCTCCATAAAACAAATCATGACATTAAATAAAAATTCAAATTATCATAAATTTATGATTTCATAAATGAAAAAGAACAAAATAATGAAACTTTTTTTTTTTAATCATTTCACCCCAAGCAAGGCAATAAAGCTACTAGGACACAAGGGGTTACTGAGTGTTAGAGAATATGAGAAAAACTACTATTAAGGAGTGGGAATGATAAAAGATTAAGAATTAAGAAGACAGAAGATAACAATTGACATTGCATTTAAATTTTTGAAGATAAAAGTTGACTGGGAAACAAGAAGCTGGAAAAGAGTTCCACAATCAAGAAGTGCTGCTTTCTTATACCTTAAGAAGGTTGAAGGGCAAAATGTTGTGATA